AAGAAATTATACACTTTTGTATGTCATATTTAAGCCCTGCAGTAATCACAAAGATTGAAGCTAGAATGTTTTCAGGGTATCTGATAATTCGGCAATCCCGATTAGAGCATTCTTAGTTGTTTTGTGTGTGTGTTGAATTGCTAAAATATGGTCAGTTGGCTTGTTGGGGTCGATTTTTGCATAAATTAGTAACAGACAGAGACGGACTGTGGGCTGGAGCTGGGGAATCAACAAATTAGGTTACTTCGTCAATGTTGTGGAAAATAAAATAAATAAACCAAAATGGGCTGGATACTAAGTACATACACACATACAAGCGCAACTAAGTATGTGTTATGAGTGTGTGTGCCTAAACACATTCGCTTATTATAAAGGGATCTGACCTAAATTTCTAGAGCAAACGACGACACATGCAAAAGTGCAATTTCATTTTACAACAAACAAATTAAATAGTATAAGGCAAAAACAATGAAAGCAGACACAGATAACAAATTACTTGCTATGAATAATAATAAAGTGCCAGTAACTAGTGTCCATGGACACGCCCCATCAACATCCAGGCACGAGGAACGTAATGAATTTCAGATGACAATGACGACAACGATGACAATGTTGACAAGCCGATGAGCATAAAAGATGCGCAGAGAACCGAACATAACCAAACATAAGTAAATATGTGAATCAATTCTGAAATCTATTTCCAAAACTGTTTCACCTTTCAAAATCAACACCAATTCAACAACAATTCACTCCAATTGAATACTATAAATGCAAATATGTAATCTTTATAAATAAGGAAATTATAAGGAAACGTTCGCTATAAAATATACCATAAATTTTCAGATAAAAAAACACTCGGAAATAAATTTAAGGCATGACCAAATATTATGCTACATAAACTTTGGTGATTTTTAAGCGAAATCTATCAGAAATGGTGTCTGGGAACTTTGTCATTAAGTTAAAAATTGCCTCGAACGAACTGAAACAATGAGCAAAATTTCATTACCGGACCATGGACGATTCATTGCACCATTGGATGGTTCTGGAGGCCTTATATAGAGGGGCGTGAAGGGAGCCTGCTGCAATCTTGACGACAATTGAAATGGAAAAGAAAACGAATGAAATGTGCGGAGCCTTCGGGTTGCCATTCTCGCCCTCTTACTTGGCATTGCTGGGGCTGGAATCTCCTCATCGTCATTCTCGTTGTCGCGCTCGCTGTCAACGCGGCTGTCAAGTTGTCGTCCCTGCCAACAGCTAACGTCTGTCCTTCCTGCCGTTCCGCTAGTTATTTGCATTAAAAATATTATTCATTGCAATCACAAGGATTTGCACAAAAATGTGCTGCAATGAGCCCTTTTGGGCATATGATGGAGTAAGAGAGGCGGGTAGGATGTCGCCGCTTTGTCTCGAACGGAATAAGCGGATAATGAAATAGTTGTGACACAATTTGGCATTGCCAAAAAAAAATCCAGGATATGACAAACGATGAAATGGTGAACGATAAGCTGCAAAATAAACGGCTACAACAAAGGCGGTAGCCGACAATTTCGGTTTATTAAAATTGATGACCGTCTTGACACAAAGGAAAAAAACAAAAAATACAGAACGTTATTTAAATGCTTGCAAATATTATGATAATGATAAAAGCCACTTTAATTTCAATTTACTTATGGAGAATTGCAAAAATTATCATACACAGAGGGAAACAAGACGTCAACTCAAGTCAGGAATTTAGTACTTGAATTACGCCAAGCTAGACTTAAAAGTAAACAAGTAAGAGGTTCTAGTCGGGAGCTCCCGACTAGGGGATACCCTGAACCGTTCCAACATCAAATGCACATATAATTATTATATAAGCTATAAGCTATATGTCAAGTTTGGTGACTCTAGCTCATATTATTTACCAAAATTGCCCAAACAGCAGGATATCGATATCGATTTTTATCGATGGCTTGGAAACGGAGTAAGTTATCGATTATCGGAAACAAACTCGATCTGCACGGGAACTAGGAGCACCTACATCTAAAATTTCAAGTCTCTAGCTCTTAAAGGTTGTGAGATCCTTTCGTTCATACATACGGACGGACGGACGGACGGACAGACAGACGGACATGGCTAGATCGACTCGGCTATTGGTGCTGATCAAGAATATATAAACTTTATGGGGTCGGAGATGCTTCCTTCTGCCTCTTACATACATTTGGATTTTGCACAAATACAATATACCCTTATACCCATTTTTAATGGGTTCAGGGTATAAAAAGTATGGCTTTTAAAGAAGGAAAAAGCTTAAATAAGGCTCTTCAGTCAAATTGAGACCATTAAAAGATCGAACTAACTTCAACTGAAGAGCGCCCATAGCTTACTTTTTATATTGTTTCAATACAATCTCAGTATGGACTTAACCTTAACAATTACTGAGTAAAGTGTGGAAATTATCATTTCGCCTGTCGTTTTTCTCGCCGTGTACTGGAAGTAGTTGCTAGTCAATCCACTAAGATGCAGTTTTAGTTACTTCGCAGCAACAGGCAAGAAGAACACCAACAGCAACTAATTGCCGTGAATTTAAACAGATATGCAACTAATATGCAGTTGCCGCCTTCGAAGTGGCAATAAATGGAATATACACAGCGCTTTGAAGTTACCACACGTTGCAAATGGAACCAACGGCCAGCGGCTTGTGAGAAGGCAAAGTGTCTGAGGCCAGGAGCTGATAAATTGGAAGTGCATTTGACGCCGAAGCAGTTGTAGCTGCAGATGTTGCCTCTTCTTGTTGCTGTTGCCTGTAATATTGCCGGCGTTGTTGCTGCAGTTGCTAATGTGGCTGTTGTTGCCGTTGCTGTCAGTAAGGCGCGTGTCTTGTCTTGCCCCGACTGCACTGGCGGCGCTGCATTTGCATTTGTCCTCATCGTCGTCTCGACTCTGGCGGCTCTGTTAATGAAAACGCCAAACGAGGCATCGTCCGCAGTTTCCATAGTCATTTACCGCCGCTAACCGTTTGTTTCCCTCGTCAGCTGTTTTTGCTGCTCGTACACGCGCAGCCGAACGTGTTCCTTGACAGCGGCAACACCATCAGCAACAATGACCGAAAATGTCAACGAAGAGCTGTGCGATTGTCAAATGCCCTGTAAATTCGATCGAAGAAGCTCTTTGGTGTTCTTTATACGAGCTTCGTGTCTAATAGCATTTAATTCATGATTTATTAAAATATTAGTTAGGCACCTCCATTTTGTTAATAGAAAATCAAAATCTCTTGCCCGTGTGTTTCATTTGTGATGAAATGCGCCTCGCCAGCTTTTGGCTGTCGTAAACTGCTTTTCATGCTCGCTGTCACAGTGCTTATGATACTGTTTCCCTCTCGAGTAATTAATTTACTACAGGGTATTATAACTATTGCAGCACACATGTAGTATCGCTGGCAGCTCTATCGTGTTGGCGCTGGTCTAAATGAAGATGCCGCCTTCCAGCTGCACATCATCCAAGCCGACAACTCCCAGCTCAACAGTCACGCTTGCTTGTGAAACACTCGCGACCCCCTTCGCCCCCCCCCCCCCCCCCTAGCACCAACCCAATACCCCGCAGGTCCCATTGCATGCTGCCACACTGTTCGCTTGGCAAAATGCATTTGCATATTTGTATCCTTATGCCTGCCAGTTAACCTGCCCCAACCAGCTGCACAACCGCCCCCAACCCCTCTACACCCTACACCTACCACTTTTTCCTGTTTCCCCCATTTGCTTGCAAGCGGCGCCGCTTTTAACGACAAAGTGTGAAATTTCATTGAATTTGAGCTCGTTGACAAAAGTGGAATGGCAACAACAACACCAGCAACAACAGTTGCAACGTTGCAGGTGTTGTTGCAGTTTTGTTGTCGTCATTGTTGTTGCTTTTGAAAATTAATTTAAATTATAGTTTTTGTTATCGTCGCCTGCTTTTTAAGCGCATATTAGCCGAGGAACAGTGGGAGAAAATGCGAGAGCAAAATGTTAGTTGGTTAGGATTGGAGCATGGGTTCATGTGGCATGCGGCATGTGGCATGAGGAATATTTTTCTGTGGAAGCAGCTAATTTTGTGGAAAATGATAGCTGCAATTAATATGCCGTCATCGTCGTTATAGTTGTGCATTATTATTTTATGCAAATTTGTAGCATGTTGAAAATTGGAGTAGACGAATGTGGCAGCAGCGAAATTGGGGTGAGGCATGGAGTGATTGCAATTTGTCGTTCTGTTCTTTCTATATATGCATAAGTGGTGTCATCAGTAATTGACAATGTGGCTGGTCATGAACGAGACCTGACACATGTTGTAAATTTGCAATGGGAAATCGAATTGAAATTTCATGAGAGACCTTTGCAAATCTTTATAAATATAAAACTGTTTGTCTGTGCCTCAATGACAGACTCGAGAGTAGCGCACGGATCAAACCCTAAGGGCTAGTAAACTGATAAGCTTACTGTAGTTAGCTTTTGTGGTGGATGTGAGCGGTGTATTGGGAAACTCGACCCAAAAGTGTGAAAAAAGTTTGACTTTTATAAAAAGTTAACGGCTTGTCTATAATATTTATTTAGTTTTTAAACTCAAACATTTTTGTATTCATTTACAATAGCAAAATGCCTAACAAACACTTAAATCAAACTTCTGAAAATTTTGAAGAGCAGCTAAATCAACTAATTTTATTACTTAAATCACATCAATTGTGCGCAAAAAAGAAATCTACAGTCGATGAACGCTCTAAACGCTTAAATAATGACTACAACAGTGTAGGTGGGCGGAAACTCGACCAGGAGAGCCACAAGTCAACAACGAAACTTTTTGGACATGGTTCGGCCAATCAATACGTACAACAGGACCGTTTAAAATCCTGTTTAGTGGTGCCAGCTAATGAAAAACAATGCGACAAGGAAGAGACGAAAAACTTGCAGGAACAGTTGAAAAATTTTACATTTAATTTTCCCAAAGAGAACAAAATAAATAGTACGTTAACTGTAAAAGTGAATTCGATGAAACCACAAAAACCTGCCACAGAAGCAAGCAATGGCGATATAAATGAAGCAAGCTCAAGAATCGCCGAAAAGAAGGAGAACAAACAGCAGACATCAAAATATCAGCTAGATCATATGTACTTTGTGCTGGATACAAATGTGCTTATGGACAGTTTGAAGCTTTTAGAGGATGTGGCAAATTTAAGACTTGTTGGCACCTCGGGCAGCATGCTCTATGTGCCCTATATAGTTATAAAAGAATTGGATGTATTAAAATGCAGGCAGACAACAAGCTTTGCCGCCAGACGGGCCATCGAATATCTGAATGATAAATTCGATGATAGAGAGAAAATCGAGGCACAATCAGCACTCGAAGATGCACAGCAGCTAATCGATATAGACAGTGCGGATGATAACATTATCAATTGTTGTCTGCAATTGAAAGCTGAGCTGCAGCATATGATGCTGCTGACAAATGATAATAATCTGCGGCTCAAGGCAGTTGCTTCGTCCATAAGGGTGTCGACATGCTATCAGTTGACCAGCTACAAAGGCTACTGGTGGAGCCTGCCAAGGGGTCGTCGTCTACAGAGACGCCAAAAGTATAAAGTTTGGATTTAGGTTCTTAAATTAAGGTTATTGTTTAATGTTTGGTTATCCTTTAAATGTTTCAGTTAGTAGTTAATTTCTTTTAAGTTAATTTGTTAACAGTTGAATGTTTCATGCTTATTACAAACAATGTTCAAATTATGTAGCTTCTTTAATTACAACAGCCATTTAAATGAAGCAACTGGGCGAGCATGTTGCTTCGACATCAATGCATAAAGCAATATCAACTTTTGGGGCCCAAATGACTGCAATAACAGCAGCCCGGTTAGCAACGATGGGGCTTGGTACAACAGCAGGACGAACATATCCTACTGACAATAAATACGACCAACTTTCGCTCGCTAACGAACTTTTTCTATAAATCAAAATAATAACTTCTAAGCTGGGGTACACACGACTTCTCTAAATGGCGTTCCATTTCGAGCAGTATACGCAATGAAACGTACGTTCCCTGATATTTTCTGCATTTGGTGTCTTTTTTTTGGGGGGGGGCTGTCATCAACAAATGTTGCAGCACGGCGACCGAGCAGATAGATGAAAGCAGGAGGAGCTTGGCCGGAAAGTCGCAACCACAAAAGATGGAGATGGAGCATGTGGAGGTGCAGAGGAGCGGCATTTACTTACGGCGCATGCGATAAATTTAATAAATTACAAACCAAATCCGCAAATTTGTTGAATTCCAAAAAAATAAAAAGGCAAATGACTATGGGAGTCGGAGGCCAGAAGAGTGCCCATGTGCCAAATGGCAGTGGCGACATTTGCACGGCGTTTGGGGAACATGTGAGACAGCAGCTGCTGCACGTGTTCGTGTTTGTGTGCGGCACAGTCAGGAGACGAGGAGAATGTTTGCATTTTGCGGGCAAAAGTTTTACTGTAAATTGCTTTTAATCTAATGAACACCGCTAAAGAACCCGATGTAGAAAACAGAACAGTCGCAAACGTTGCTCGAACGACAAACGACCCCTGACGTTAAACTCATTTTTCCTCGGTGGTTTCATTAGAAAATTACTTAAGCTGAAGGCGCACGTATGTATTTACTATAAAAGTGAACCTAAAGCTTGAGGTCCAGCTTAATGGGCGTAAAGGGTTATCTATTTTGGGCAAAGCAGCAGATAGTAACTATGGCTTAGCCGAACTCAATTTTAGCCCAGTAAAAAATGAGAGTGGATAAGTTACTTTTTTGAAAGTAAACAGTTAAGGATAACAAAGAAGTAGAGTCGAGAGTGCCCGACCAACAGTTACCCTGAACTCTGGGCACAAATCACAATGCAGCTGGGGTTCTTCCATTAGGCCCATAGTCCTTATGGAGATATTTTCTAAATACCCTTTTTAGGGTACAATAAGCAAGTATAGTTTAGAAGCCCAACCAAAATACGTTTCTTTTCTATTGATTCGAAGTGAACATGCAATTTAGTGAAATCCTTACACCTTAAGATATTTCGGTGGTAACAGCTGCCACCTGAGCTTGCACCTCATCCTGCTGCAGTTTCTGCTCGACCCAAGTCCTGCTCGTGCACGGCAAATTCGGGTTACTCCCATTTTTCATCGACTCCTTGCAAAACTGATCGTGTAGATCGTTACAGTCTGTGTTGCAAATGTTTTTCCAGCCCTTGTCATTTATGTGATAAAGCCGCACAATGCCACCCGAATAGGCATCCTTGCTGGTGGCATGATAAATGGCACGACGTGCCAAATCGAAAGCCTCATCCGTTGTCAAATCCCAACGATAGCCTGTATCTAGCACGCCCAGAGCGTATGGTGAACCGCTGCCCACCGAAAAGACGCTGCCATGCGATCGCATGCCATCCGAATCCACATATATGAGTTTACAACCCTCATCATCGCAGCCAGCCAGCATCATGCCCATGACCAGACCCATGCCCTTGTATTGCGTGGATATGTTGCACATCATTCGTGCCGCTGCATCCACCGTGATACGGCGCTTGTAGCGCAGCTCATGCAGCCGGCATTCACGTGCCAGCACCCGATCCCAGTAAACGCAGTCGGCAGCGCCACCGGCCAAGGTGCCAAGCATATAACTATTGAGCTCCACAATTTTTTTCATGGTCTGTGAACCAATATATTCGCCGGAAGTGGCTCGCGAATCGGCACAAAGCACAATGCCACCCTGATACTTGAAACCTAACGTCGTGGTGCCATGATCACACTCCATACGCACCTTACAGTGATCGAGAATTTTGGGAAGATTCTCAGCCGGCTGCAAGCGAGATTTTGAATGATTTTTCGGATTGTAGGTGCACTAATTTAATTCGTACATTTTCAAAGGGTGGAGCCATTAATGAATAGGGATTGGTAAAGTTGCTGGTTGCAATTTGAATCTGATGCAGGTCCCACTCTTTTTGGAGCTCATCGAAGCGCTTCATAAAGGGCAACTTATTCACACCGGATATGGCTTCTAGGGCCATGATTTTTAATGGTTAATACTAATTTAAAATAAATTTTTAGGATCAGGGTGCTAAATATGCTAAGAATTTCGAAAATAAATTATTCAATTGAAATCTGAATCTGTGCTGTCAGGCATAATCTGATGGATCTAAACTGTCTTCCTTGAATGTGTTCATGAATTTCAAGAAGTGGCATTAATTAAACAATTACATATTTAATCTATCTTTTGCTTTGTACATATTATTTTTAATAGTTTGAAATTTTACTCGTAACTTTGCCCTTTTTATTAGGTTATAAATTTAGTTGTCACACAAGTCACATTACTACCCATTTTTTTAAAACTTTAAATGTCGGCCCCATTCGCTATGCTTTAGACAAATTTTCTGCATCTAGAGATTTGCGCTAGAAGCAGCAGCAGCTAATTTGCAGTCTTAGCCAAAATCTCGCACTTCACTTGACGTTCTGTTGGCCATGCCTAAGACCCACTCCTATTAAAACAGGTTCAACTAAGCTCCAATTAATTGCCAAGTCGCAAGAAGGACCAGGCTAGGAGAGTGTATAGGGAAGATGTTGCCGTGGCTGCTGCCCTCTAATAAACTGGCAGCGGAAATTTTTAACAAGTTGCCATTTGCCAGAGATCCCGCCTAGCCTGAGCTGTAATTAACGCACACAGAAAACACAGGCCAGAGAAGATGAAGAAAAGGCATCCAACTGCAGCTGGATTCTTTGCTTTGCATTTCGCTTGTTGTAAGTCGCGACTTTAATGCAGCTCGCAGCTAAACTAGTTGAGATTTTGCATATCAGATGGCCGCTGCCAGCTTCCAGTTTGCCCTGTGATTTAATAATCAGCCAAACTGCCAACTACCAACAACTGTCAACTTCTGCTGCTGCTGCTGCTCCTGTTCCAGCCAAATGAATGGCTTGGCCCTGTTGCATGGCCATTAAGAGGGCAAACGAACTGCGAACTGGAGGCGCGTGCAAAATGAAATGTGGCCAGTGTGCAACACGCATGCCAAAGAGCAGGCCCATACTCTGTGTACACTCAAAAAAAAATATCAATTTTTTTTTATCACAAATTCACTTTTGTTATGTTGTCTAAGGTAATATCCTTAGGGCCAAGTTTAATAAACAGTTTATTTCATTAAAGGTAGGGAACGCCATTTTCATATTTGAGAAATGATATTTCTAAAAACAACCGTAATAGGGAAATAATTTTTCTAAGTGTACAATGGACACTGGTTGCAGCTGCCAATTTGCATAAATTTAGATCAGTGACAATTGACGTCCGCAGGCAGAACTGAAATTTTTTGTAGGCGTCAACCGCTCCAACTCTCTCTTTCTCTCTTTAGCACCTCTTTCTAAATGCAACCAAACATTTGCAATTGTCGTTTAATTAGAAACCAAACCGTTTGCTCTGCTTTTCAGTTAATTTAGGAGCCTCGCTCCCACTACCTCGCTCTCTGACTCCCTCTCTCTCTGTGTCTGCAGGTGTTGTTTCCACCGGCTTCTCAATTAAAACGTCATGTTTCTTTACGTTGACGCCAAAGTCGCTGCAGTCTACTGGCTGCACTTGCTCTAGCTTTGGTGGGCGTTGTTGTCTGGTCATGGAAGCTGTGTCTACTGCGTCTGCATTGAGTTGATTGGCTGCTCATTAATGGCACGCCTAATTAGAGCTAATCTTGTATACATGACCTAGAGTCTAGCAGTTGCAAACAATAAAAAGAACTTATGGTAAATACTTCAGTTTTCATTCATCAAATCTTCCACTCGTAAGTAGCTTTGTCAAACAGACTTGTTTATAAAAAACTTTTTTTAATATTGCTAGACTCGGCTAAAAATTTGTCGCATTCTTTTGCAAAAAATGCAACAATAACATGTAAGGGTAAATGTGTTCGTCTAGGGTATACCCCATAAACAGCTCAGAATTTCCACAAAAAAAATCATATATACACCTTTTATTCGTTGATAAATTTTAACTTCTAGGCCTATCATCTTAAAATGGTTACGATGGCATTCAAGTAATGTTATTCAATTTGTGATCAATGTAATCTATTCGAAACCTACCTATAATTTAAGTCTCTAGCTTCTTAAATGTGATTTAGTTGTAAAGTGTGGAAGTTTTTGAGCTATAAGTAATTTTGAGTTTGAATCCCCTTAACTGTTGATGATAACACAAACTGAGATTTAGTTTATAGAATCGAAGATTTATTCCGCTGTCATTTGCACAAATTGTACTATACTCGTTAACAGATTTTTACTTCGTTTACAGGGTATAATAATCCAAATGTAAAAGTGTGTGTTTGTAAATGTTATATTTATTTTAATTTTATTTTATTTAACTTTGCCTTTCACTTTATATTATTTACACTGCTGCTTAGCATTATTGTTGCAAAATCTGACAAATCCTTTGTTTTACTGCTTATTGGCAGTAAAAGTTTCCTTGAGCAACTTTTAAGCTTGCTTAAGGCTCAGGACAGAGCGACAGCTGGTGGATGCGGATCCAAAGCATGTTTGGGACAGCTTTCATCATATACAGAAGTTGTGACTTGACGCTGTTGGTTTTCTGTCATCCCACCCCACCACACCGCCCCTCGTTCCATAGCCACTATCAAGTAGACAGCCGCATCCAATTTACAGTTCATCATCTGTCCCGTGCCTGTCACAGAGGCTTCTCGCAGCGGCCGCCGCTGTACGTAAATTTTGACAGTGCGCCTAATTGAGCCGCAAACAGTTTTGACATTTGCGACCGCGCGCCGCATTTAATTTATTTTAATTGAAACGGTCAGGCAACGGGTTAGCTGGCCTAATCCTCTAGCTGGTCCAGCAGTCCAGAGAGTTCAAAGTTGAGGCTGCAACTGAAACTGAAACGGAAACTTTTGCCAAGTCGCTTATTAGGTCAACTTTGGCTGACAGATCGTGATGCAGGCGCAAACAGAGGGGAGATATACCAACAGAAACAAAGAGAGAGAAAGAGAGAGAGAGAGAGAGAGAGAGAAAGAAAGAAGATAGACAGTGGTGGCAGGGGGAGGGGCAAAGTCCAAATCAGAGTGTACCAAAAGGGAATCAAAGAACCAAAGCGAAACTATTTTTACAGCCGACTCACTAACAAAGTATCCAATTTTTACGACGATGCATTAAATTAAAAAGTTTTCGTATGCTTGCCTATGCCCCATTCCTGACATCAATAATGCCCTAACAATTGAGGACTATAGGCCTGTCATGGATTTTGTAAAATATATATCTGTATAAAATATATCATTTTTTTTTTATTAATGATATTTGAATTTTTAACTCTCAAAGAAGAAAGTATTAATTTTAATAAAATTTAAAAGGAATGCAAAGCGGCTTTTTATACTTGACCCAAGAGAAAGGCCTGTTAATTTTTTCCAGTATAATTATATGTATCTGTAATTTTTATACAAATTCTGGAGCACAACTTAAACTGATAGAGAGAAAAAAGTATATTCAGACTTTTCAGCTGTTAAATAGTGTGCATACCCGATTCTGCTCTTTCCGGCAACAACTTTGGATGCTTTTAACGACTTTGCATTGGTTTTCATTGCCAAAAGGCCGCTCCAGCTTTTGCATTGGCCGTACACCATACCACATTGTCAGGCCGAGTTGAAGTCTCGTTTTGATTTTACGGCTGACAACATATTCGCATTCCATTGCATTTCACATCGCACATCCTTAGGACTTTTGGCTAATTGTTGCGCTGTGCATTTTTACGGCACTTTGAAAGCCATTAATTCGCATTTTATGTACTTAATTAGTTTTCTGGCTCAATTTTATGACGCATTTTCCGAGCAATGTCTCGTAAATTTTGATGATCGATTTGCATCGATGCGCAAAGTTTGAAGTGCCCAGCCCCAAAAAATGTCAGTCTCAAAAGATAAGCCGCCTCAAATTACACTTTATAGCTCACACGTCGTACAATAGCTATTTCGGAAACGAATTGTATTTCATGGCAAACTTACATTATTAGCCATCGTAAAACCACAAAAGCTTTTTAAACTGAGCTCAGAGTTATTTTCCGGTTTAAACTTTTAAATACTTAGCAGACTCTTTTGATTTAACGGAACATTTTTGAAATACTTAATAAAATAAGGCATAAGAACCGAGAAATAAAGACAATTCAAATATATAAATAAGCCTCCGTCGAAGCTTTGACTTGTTGAAAATTGCAAGCGGCGAGCGACGAAAAAGTACAGCGTGTACACTTTAGTCCATTTTTGTAATGTTTTATTTAATTTAAAGCTTCTACAAAGAACTCTAGCTAAAGCGCCAAATTCGTTGTTATTATTTATGCCTTTATGTGCAACATTTCTGAAATAGGCTCAGAATAGAAAGTCCTAATTTTGTGTTAGCTCGAATGCATATGACAAGACGTGACGGGCCATTGGCAGCGCCTGTTAGCCAAACAGCAGAAGCTGCAGCAACAACAATTGAAAAGCGTTTTCATTGTTTGGCAAAACGCGGCAAAAGGCCGCACAAGGCACGCGCGCATCGAAAAACCAGCGGGCAATCTTTTGTTGTCCAAATGCGTGGCGGCAGCACAGGGCATACAACAAAAAGAGGTAATGACCAAAAGAGCTGCTAATGTGGCGGCTGCCTTCGCTTCCGTTGAAGGCCACCGATGCGGCATCCATTTCTCTGATGTTGTCAGTGACGTCTGCTTCAGCTCCACGTTTATCGCTAGCCTGGCATTTGCATTTGCATTCGCATTGCGATGCGATGCTTTGTTTTCTCGTGCAGCTAATTTGCCCACAAAGCGTAGAATTTGTTCGACCATGTGCCTTTGTCCATGTTGGCATCGGGTTAGTAATTGTTGGACCCGGCTACCGCTGCTGCTCCCTGCGAGCTCTAATCAACTTTTTATGCCGCACAATGCACACATTGCACACATGCTCGTACATGCCGTCAATTACACAGCTTCAGTAGCCAGTGTTCAACGTTGCAATGCGATATAAAAATCAATGGAACGCACGATTGGCAGAAAATTAGTAGAAAACTAGAAATTGGCATCATCTGGTTACCTGTGAAAAAAAATATTCTTCCACTATTTCTGGACTTTTCAATTTTTTTCCATTCCACGCATTAC